GTTCAAGAAGAAAAAAAAAGGAAAGAAAGAAGCTGGCAGTTACGCAGTTAAAAAATACTGAAGCGGGCTTCCCTGGTGGTGCAGTGGTTAAGAATCCACCTGCCAATGCAGGGGCCACGGGTTTGAGCCCTGGTCCAGGAAGAACCCACATGCCATGGAGCAACTAAGCCCGTGCGCCACGACTACTGAGCCTGTGCTCTAGAGCCCACAAGCCACAACTACTGAAGCCCGTGCGCCTAGAGCCCGTGTTCTGCAACGAGAAGCTACCGCAATGAGAAGCCCGTGCATCGCAATGAAGAGTAGCCCACGCTCGCTGCAAGTAGAGAATGCCCGTGCACAGCAACGAAGACCCAACATAGCCAAAAATAAATAAAATAAATAAATAAATAATACTGAAGCTTATGGCAGTGGTTCTTAATGAAAGGTGTACTGGAATCACCTACTCTCCACTGTCCTGCTGGTGACGCAGATCTGTGGGAGTGAGGGATGGGTAGCTTTAAGTACCTCCTCAGATGGTTCAGGTAAAACTCTCAAATGAAAAATATTAATAGCAAAAACAGCAGTGAATTAGAGGCACAGTCCCTTTAGTCAATTTCTCCTTCAATTACCCCAACTCATTTCCATGATCTACTCTACCTGGTTGCTCATAGTTAATCAATTACTTATTTTTAATTCTTGTTGATTTTTCTCTCTTAGATATATCTAGAATATGTCTACCTACTTCTCTTGAGTATCACCTTCATAGTCCAGGCAATTATCAATCTCTCTCATAGACAATTCTAATAATCAGTTTGCCTATATCAACATGTGCTCACTGTGTCCCAGAGGGAAAGTTTAGAATAGAAAATCTGGTCAAGTCACGACTTAAAACTGCTTAAAATTAAAACACTACTTAATACTGCTTAAAACTCCTCTTCTTCAAAAGATGGGAAAGATTTCTACCCATCATCACAATCTCATCTCCTATTATAGGTTTTATGGATGATAACAATGTCTATAATATTTATTGAGTGCTTATTATGTGCTGAGCGCTGTTTTAGGTGCTTTCCATATATTAATTCATCCTTACTATAATCCTATGAATAGGTGCTCCAAAATATTTTTTAAATGCATGTATGCATGAATGAATGAATTAGTGGCAATGTGATGAAAGCCCTAGGACAAGAGTACCTTGCAATTCTACAGCTGTATACTTTAAGATATATGTTTACTTTGAAGGGTTTGAATATAATGAGATCATACTTACAAATAATAAAAAGTCAAAGATTCGAGGGAAGTGTTACATAGGAAACATCTGAATCCTCAAAGCTTGGATAGCTCTCATAAGAAAATATGTTTATTAGTAATTTGAGAGCATGGAGCTTAAGGCCATATTAGGAGTATGCAAGTGTATTCTTATACAGATATATGATTCAGATGATAGCCCCACTAGAGTTATTTCTCCTAGCCTTAGTTGGCACCCTGTGACTGTACACAGTTTTAGCTGCAAGAAAGTGTATCTGAAAGGTGTTCTTTAATACATTTGGTTCACAAAATCTAACCAGGACTTGGAACAAAATATCATCAATTAAAAAATTAGAAATTCTAAAAAGGGTAAGTTCTTATTAGAAATTATTTAGGGTAGTCAATGTCTTGGGTCCAAAGTCATTAGTGAGCCCCAACCTACAATATTATTGGTTCTAACCTACCTGGTGATGCCACACAATCAATATTTATTGAATTAAAATAAAGAACAACCATTGTTCCTGAACCATCCACTTTCTTAAATCTTCTACTCTACTCTAGTCAGAATGCATTACATACTAGTCACTGTAGAATATAGATTTCTACAAGTGGAGGTGCTGAAGAGAGGAGCCTATATATTTAAGTTTTATTAGGTGAAAGTATATTAATTTCCAAAATGGAGAAAGATTTACACTCCCACCAATAGTATACAATGTTCTTAAGATACGGGGAGGGGGAAGAGTAAGCTGGAACAAAGTGAGAGAGTGGCATGGATATATATACACTACCAAATGTAAAACCGATAGCTAGTGGGAAGCAGCCACATAGCACAGGGCTCGGTGCTTTGTGACCACCTAGAGGGGTGGGATAGGGAGGCTGGGAGGGAGGGAGACGCAAGAGGGAAGAGATATGGGGTATATGTATATGTATAGCTGATTCACTTTGTTATAAAGCAGAAACTAACACACCATTGAAAAGCAATTATACTCCAATAAAGATGTTAAACAAAAAAAAAAAGATCGGGCTTCCCTGGTGGTGCAGTGGTTTAGAATCCGCCTGCCAATGCAGGGGACACAGGTTCAAGCCCTGGTCCGGGAAGATCCCACATGCTGCAGAGCAACTAAGCCTGGGCACTACAACTACTGAGCCTGTGCTCTAGGGCCTGCAAGCCACAGCTACTGAGCCCATGCACCACAACTACTGAAGCCTGCACGCCTAGAGCCCGTGCTCCACAAGAGAAGCCACTGCAATGAGAAACCCATCAACACAACTAGAGAAAGCCCGCGTGCTGCAACGAAGACCCAATGTAGCCAAAAATTAAAATAAATAAAATTAAAAAAAAAAAGATAGATACTAAACCATCTCTCCCTTTAAATCCGTTTTCTTTATTCAATTTTCCTATAGGATCATTCCAAGAGGAAAACATACCACCTATACTTACAGCATGAACATTACTCATCCTAAGGTCAGGGAAACATGACTGTTTCATGTTTATCTCCTTTTTAATTTTTATTTTTCTTCCAGTCTTACTGAGATATAACTGACATAAAGCATTTTATAGTTTAAGGTTTACAGTATAATGATTTGACTTATATGCTTCATGAAATGAGTATCACAGTAAGTTTAGTGAACATCCATCATCTCATATAGATACAAAATTAAAGAAATAAAATAAATCTTTTTCTTGTGATGAGAACTCAGGATTTACTCCCTTAACAACTTTCATATATGTTGTATATTGTATGTTTCATGTTTATTGTAAAGAAATGGGAAATGTGTATAGACAGTTTTAACAACAACAAAATCAGTAAGGGGACTGTAGATATATTTTATAAAATCACTCAGACTATAAATACATGTTATCAAATTCTCACAAAGCCTAATATGTTACTCTGAAAGAAAGCACACAAGACATAAGTGTTTTGCATACTCAGTGACTCCCAGAGGACATCTAAAATTTGGTTCTGTTTTCAAAAATTGCTGCCCATTTTTGTGATAAGAATAAAATTAGGTTGTACCACTTCTCTCACTCCACTACAACTTTATATTATATTGGTAGGTGATAGTATCTTATTGTCACTTACCTATATTGGTAGGTAGATGATAATAACTTAGATGGATCAGGAGGATTAATAGATTGATGATCATAAATTGCTGTGCAATGAACTATACTATGGCAATAAATATTTTTATTTAAATTTTAAAAGTCGATGTCAGGAAAACTATTTCATTATGTAAATCATTAAAAAGTTAGTTATTCCTTTCCTATGTCAGAACTTCATAAAAATTAAATATGAAAAGATCATATTCTCTGGCTGACTTTCTGCCTTTAGTTGACCTGACAGTGTATCAATCAATCTTATTCTGAATCTAAATTGCTGCATCTAAATCAGACATCAGATCTAGAGGGTATTCTAAGCTGCTCAAACAATAGTAATTTTTTAATAATTTGTTAGAGGTAACTGTGTTAAAAAACACTTAACTTAAAATATCTGTCAAGAAAAACAAACTTAGAGCATGCAGAATTCTAGCAATGGTCTGTCATCTTTCTAGCAGTTGAGGTGATATGTCCAAAGAAAGTAAAGATCACTACATCCAGAAATTGTCTATGCTAAGGGTAACTTCTTTTAAGACACCTTTCAATCTCCTTTAGAACATAAAGACTGTTAAAAAAAAACAGTAAAGCGATAAACATATAAACTATTCATTTCCAAAGGCAAGTGGATATCACAATTAGCAACCAGAAAGACATAATAATATATGTCTTCCTCATTGTTGTAATGAGAAGGCACCATAAATTCTGTTCAGTGAGAAGCTCCTAGTGATTCCAAGTGGAATTAAGTATATCAATGTAATGTTTTAATTTCACCTAGGAGTATCTGACTTAATAAATCATTTACCCATTAATTTGAGACTTATGTCTGGTTAGCTGTAGCTGAAGGAATGTCATTTTTTGTTTTTAAAGCTATTCTAGCCATATATTTTAAAGGGGTCGCTACCCTTTCCAGCCACTAAAATGAAGTAAAAAACTTTGAAACTCTCCTGACAAATTTATTAATTGATCTGTTCAATCATTCAATCTTTAATTAATTCACTTGCTCATTCTTCAGTCCATCTGTCAGCCCATGTATGCATCCATCCATTTCTCCATCTATCAGTCTATCACATAGGGTGTAAACTGTTAAACTTAATGAGCTGTTAAACCTGCAGCTGACCATTAAAACACTCTCTTCTACAAACTCTTTCCACTTTCTATTGCTCTGCAAGAAACCTAGTAGTGAGAGGAAACATTATTTTCTGCTTAAGTGAATGAGGGCCTGTGGAACACAGTGAAGATTAATTGCTAGAATATCCATATGATAAACAACTGTATCAGACATGTACATCATGGAAAAGTTTAATTACTGATGAAAGATCTTTATTTCATCTAGAATGTAGATGTCACCGAGTCATATACGATATAAAATAGTTTCACAGTATTCCTGCTTAGATTCTGTATCAATATACATACTTTCAACTTCCAGAGAAACATCACCAAAATTGTGTCTAATAACTCACTTTTCCTTAAGCATGCATTTGCACATGCTGTTCTTTGTATATTCTCTTTCTCTTCCTGGTGGTCCCTCCTTAACACCTTTCCCATTTTTTTCCTTTCTACCATTAAGTCTGGATACCTAGCAAGCTCCTACTCACCTTTCCTATTTTAGGAAAGTTATAAGCAAAACAAAAAAGTTACCAGAGTTAGGTTAAGGAAGGGGACCATTATAAAATCTCACCTGTATCTTGTGCAAGAAGTGTTCTGATCTAAAGGAGCTATTGGATTAAAAGTGATGGGTGGAGAAACCTGGGCTGATAGCAGAAATCCCAAAGCAAGAATAATGAGTGCTACGGTGGTACCTAAAAAAAAAAAAAAAAAGGAAAGAAAAAAAAAGTTTTACATCAGAGAAGAATTGACAACATTCTTCCAAAGCGGACTGGGTTTGGCAAGATATATCTCTAAAAAAAGACCTTGATCTATCTTCATTGGATTAAAAAAAAAAAATGATCCTTACACATATATATTGTCATAAAAACTCACTAGAATATTCACTGTGAGAAATGACAAGAGTAAAATTCAAATCAAATACATTTGCTAGCCAAGCAGTAGGTTCGTTAATAACTTTCTAAACAAACACCATCTTGGATTACTGTCTCAAAATCAATTAATGTAACCAACATTATTGAGTGCCTAATATGTTAGAAGTATGAAAGGCAACAGATTTACACCAAGTGTTCCTTTCATTACCAAGAAAATTGTTCTAATGTCATTCAATCGGCTAAGACCCAAATAAGTAAACTAAAAAGTAACAAACTAAATATATCAAAAGTAGTTGAAAGAGTACTTCTCATTAAAAAGGAGTGGCATTTTGTAAAGACTTAAAATGTCAGAAATGACATAACACATATATTCAGTTGTCTTCCCTGTTGGCACCTGGAAGTGGAATATTTGTCTTTGATTTTAAGGTACAGAATGTGATTATATGTATCACTTAAAAGGCTCATTTTTGAGTCCCTGATAGAAATACTGATAGTAAATAAGAAAGTTTTCAAATTTCTGACTATTGTTCCAGCCATTGTGAGAATTAAAAAAAGGGTCATGGGAAGAAAGGAGAAAGAAAATATGGCTGCATTTGTTTGTACAATTTATTTGAATGAGGCAACATGTTTAAAATATGGAATTCAGGGAGGTCATTTATGTAGCAGTAAAGTTTCTATCAGATAAATGGGAAAGTAATTTAAGAATGACCAAAAATATTTTTTAAATGGACAAAAGAACAACTTTGGGACGCACTGTGAAAGTGCAATTGGATTACATAATAGGTTTGTGTTTAAGATAGAGGAAATGTGTCAAGTTAAGCACTGTGGTTAAGTCCTAGCTCTGCTGTTTCTTGACTCAGTGATCTTGGACAAAACACATGACCTTTCCAAAATTCAATTCTGTCTGCTGAAACTGGGGCTTAGCGAGAATACTCACCTTGCAGAAATGCAGTGAATTTTAAATATCACAATACATTTGAAAGATTTTTATAATGCTAAAAAATGTTAATTATTGTACTATAATTATCATTAGAAACGGCAGCAGCAGCATATTTTTAAAACTCTAGAAAAAAGTTGAAAAAGGGGGAGGAGGCTTGAAGAAAAGATCAGAAGCCATTTTATCACACCAGGCTGAAGAGGCATGAATCTAAAATCACAGTTCATTTTCCGCCGGTTGGCTTAAAATTCAAACCAGAACTAGGAACAGTTTGAGGTATTACTTTCTCAAAAAACTACCAAGCCCTGAATTGGGAAACAAAACAGAAGTCTGTCTCTTAGAAAAAGAAAAGATATATTAGGCCTGTAAATAAAAATTATCCCTCTCTCCTCAAACAAAGCAAAATAAACCATGAGTTTTACTGTTACTTTGTCTATGAAAGAAGCTGGGTCCCTAAGTATTTTCCCAAATTACCTCCACAGAATATTGTCATGGGACAGGTAAGATTTGTTTCAACCTGGAAAAGTTGATACTTTTGGATGTGAAGGAAAGATGATACTCTTCTTTCATAACACTACTTAAATAACTTGCCCGTGATAAACTGTAAACTCTTAGATGGTGTACCTAACACATACTAATATATGTTCAATTCTAGTGCCTGGCATAGAGCAGATCCCATAGTACCACAGATTTTTGCAATACTGGCTATTTTTGAAGAAAACAACAAAACATGTTAAGACTATGCAGTTGAGGTCATGGGATTAGTATGGGACAAATATACTAGATGAGAGTTCTGCAGTATGGATATTATATCTCTTGGATCCATCTCTAAAAAAGTCCAACCAACCTGCAAAATTTGGGGAAAAAGTCCATTTTGGATATAAAAAATCCTTAAATAGTTGAAGGTTTATCCTTCTTTAACACAAATTTATTTTTATTTTGACCCATTGGGGATGGAAATCTTTTAAAAGTCAGTATCATTCCTTTACTTTATTACATATAGTAGTGTTTCTCAATCCTGGCTTCCTATTGGAAAGCAAATCTTTAGAATGTACCTCAACCTCTGAATCAGAGTCTCCAGAAAATGGGGATCTGATAACATGACTCCACAGGTGACTGTGATACCCAGACAGGGTAAAAATCCTTATGAGACAATAAACTCCTTAAGGGAAGGGAATGGTGTCTTATATGACTTTATTTATGGAATAAATTTTTAAAATGATCACCTCGCCCTTCATATACTCATATATCTTTAAGGCTTAAAACTACTTGAATTATCTATTTCCTTTAACTTAACAAATTACAGATGTTTTATCACTTGTTAGTATTTAAAGTTGTTATAGTTGTTGTCAATGATCCATTATTGCAACCTAGATTTGAGTCCAATACAGGAAGACCTTGTATGAAAGGATCTTCTCCACTGTACTGGGTAGGTTGGGGACATTCTTTATATTTTAAGAGAAGAGTCCCTCTTAACCAAGTATACTGTCACATTTTGGAATTCTGATATCATTTTCCTAATAAAAATGTTCTCCATAGGAGGTGAAGTGTGTTGGATAAATAGCATTCTCAAAAACATCTGATGAAATAAGTTACCTTAATTACCTGGTACAGGGTTTGGATTATTAGTAAATACTCAGAAAAAAATAATTTCCCTCCCTAAGACTCTAAGAGAGCACACTTTTTGTGTGTAGTATCACGTGCACATATTCCAGACCTCATCTTCAGAGATTCTAATTTAGTTGATCTGGGGTTGGGTCCCAAGAATTCACAATTTAAAATAAGTATCCCTGGCAACTCTGATGAAGACAGCCTGTGAGTAATGTTTTAGGAAATATTCCACTACCAAAATATCTGGCAGAAAATAACACAGTGTTCCTGATTTATAAGCAATAAAGCTACATAGATATAAGCCTTCCTCTATTAAAAGGATCAAGAGGTTGTCATTAAATTTGTAATATTTACCAGAAAGACCAGTTCTCTTAGGGAGCTTTGAAAATATTAAAAGTCAGAACACCACAAAATGTCCTACATTTAAAATTATTCGTGGACTATATATTTTACATTTCTTTGTATAAAGAGTTTCTTTGTCCCGGTTTAACTAAATACAGTTTATTTTTAGTAATTTTTAAAGAACGAGTTCCTATTGAAAAAGTTATTTTGATTCTTTCTTTTACTATTTTTCACCCAATATAATAAAATAAACCATAATAAAAACACAAAATAGGGAATAAAAGTTTTGAAGTTAAAAAATTCTAGGCTAATCTAAGAAATTTTAAATAGAACAGTATTCTAATACTTAGCAATAGTAGAATATCAAATATATTATGATTTATTTTATTAGGTGAAAAATAGTGAAAAAACATATCAAGTTAATTTCTTAAAAAATTTTTTTTGGTGCTAATTCTTTAAAAAGTATTACAAATAAACTGTATTTAGCTAGACCAAGACAAAGAAATTCTTTATACAAAGAAATACAAAATATATAGTCCATGAATAATTTAAAGGTAGGACATTTTGTGGCTTTTAATATTTTCAAAGCTTGCTAACAGAACTGGTCTTTCCTGTAAATATTACAAATTTAATGACAAACTCTTAATTCTGCAGGAAAGAAAAGTGCCTCCAGGTTGCTCATAAAGGCAGTCCCTGGAATCTCTTGGTCTTTCCCCCAAGTCTTAATACTTTCTTTTAATAGTCAGGGATGGGCTCTGGAAATCCTTGGGGCAGAGGACCTACGTGGAAGGGTGAAACATGACATCAGCAAGAGGAGTTCAGGAAAGTTCCTGGATTCTGATGCAAGTTGATTTTACATTATGGTTAAAACAACAAAGAATCACTCTTTGGCAGTAACACTACTGTGATAGCAAAATGCTTTGGGCATTTTACTGTCTGTGTCAGGCACTGTTTGAAATGTTATACATGTATAAATGTGTTTAGTCTTCATTACAACCCTATGAAGTGGGGACTATAATTAACCCCAATTTACAAATGAGAAAACAGAACCTTGCTCAATATCACACAATTCAAACCCAAACAGTCTGGCTTTATATCTATAATGCCTCAAAATCCTGGAATACAACAAATGAAGGGACAGAGGCTGCTAGTAAAAGCATTTTCCCCCATCTCAAAAATCAGCATTTTTCTCCAAATCTCAAAACCCAAATCCCAAATCCCAAATTCAAGACCTGAAATTCTATTTAAAAAATAGGCCTCTTGAGGTAGCAGTATACTAATGCCCTGTCAAAGAAAGTGTGTCCATTTAAAAAACTTTAAAGCAGCTATTACCTCTTCTTAGAGTTGACCTGAACCTCAGGCATCAGCAAATCCAATTTTCAACCCACTGTAGGAATTTGTTTCTAGCACATCACTGCCTGATGGCCATCTACCCTTTTGTTGAGAGTTTACCATCCTAATGAGGCAGCCCAATTCATTGTTGGATAGCTCTGATTATTAGGAATATTTTTCTTATATTAAGTAAAAAATCTATGTCCTCATAACAGCTACCATCTGTGAGAATATCTATTAGGTGTCTGTTTAGTCTTTTTTCTGGGCCTAAACACTCCTGGTTCCTTGAACAGGTTTATAAATATGTGGTTTTTAACCCTCACTTGTCCCTCACCTTTCCTCACTTACCCTCCCGCTTCCCTATATACATTGGCTGTTGCGATTACCTTTGCCTTTTAATCAGACAGTCTTCCCCCTGCCTTCCCCTCAGTGCTGATACTGCAGTTCAACTTATATTATTGAACTCAAGGTTTCCACTCAAGGCAAGAACAGAGGGTGGAAGCATTCCACTCTTCCTTCTGGAGTTAAGGGTCGGAGGGAGTATGTGCTCTTAATAACGGTATGAAACTCCAAATGTATTTTCTCATCAAAATCTGGGACAACTGCCTTGAGCAGTTCTATTAGATCAGTGTTTTTTTGTTCTTTTTTTTTTGCGGTACGCGGGCCTCTCACTGTTGTGGCCTCTCCCGTTGTGGAGCACAGGCTCCGGACGCGCAGGCTCAGTGGCCATGGCTCATGGGCCCAGCCGCTCCGCGGCATGTGGGATCTTCCCGGACCGGGGCACGAATCCGTGTCCCCTGCATCGGCAGGCGTACTCTCAACCACTGCGCCACCAGTGAAGCCCTAGATCACTGTTTTAGGTATAATTTAGTTAAAATAGAATTTAGTTAATGCAGGCCTGGAACCTTTACATTTTAATAGAAAAATGTATTCTTACTCTAAATAAACTTATAAAGGAGTTATTAGAGGACAGCTAATTGATAAGTAGGAATCTGCTTGTATATTTGAAAAAGATTAGAAAATTATATGATGCAAACATGTGAAGACAATGACAGAGATGGGTCTCATTTTGGCAAGTGAAACAGCCCTTGCATTACAGAGAAATAATAAATGGAATGGGTGGGACTTAAAGACAAAAGATACTTGAATGTGAGAAGGGTTTTTCTTATTTAGTTATCATAGGAAACATACTTAACCAACCAGAATTTACACTAGGATTTAGGCCTCGTTCAAACACAAAAAGAGTCTGTCCCTGCTTTGTGAAGAAATTATATGGTTCTAATGTTCCACTGTTGAAAGAACTTTGAAAAAAAATGCTCCAAATTTACTTCCACATTATCCCCAATTTAAAAAAACTATGTTAAAAACAGTTTATGAATACCAAGTTTTCTTTTCCATTTTGTACTTTTGAGCAAAACTCAAAATAATAACAGCAAAATGCTACCCTCAGTAGGTTCAAATTGTTATTACAATTCTAATTTCTAGTTATACATCATAATAAGTTCTTATTAAAAAAATTTTTCAGAGGAACTCTATTATTTAGTTATGAAAACTATATCAGAAGTGGTACTGTATTTTAAAAGGTTAACTTGTCATCATTAGAGAAAAGTTTATAACTGAATTCTTCAGCACCTACCTGCTAAACTACCAAACGTAAGCTTTCTGCGACCCACTTTCTCAACAAGCCAGACACCCACAAGTGTGAAAATGAAATTTGTGAAGGCTGTAACTGAAGCCAGCCATATTGCAAGTCTGTCATCTTCAACACCAGACATCTGCAGAATGGTTGCACTATAGTACCTGGGAGGCAAGAATAAAACAATTGTTGTTAGTTATTCAAAGAAACACAGTTATTCATATAGAAAAATATCTACCCAACTAAAACAGACCAGGAATAACTATTAATAACACCAAGTTAAGATGGGAATTCATGCAAACTATTTAAAGGATCACAATATAGAGACTGTGTTCAGATGAATTCATTTTTAACTTTGTATCAGTAAGAAGAAATACTCAAGCAAGTGAATAGAGGGCTGAAGCTTTTAAAAGTTGAATGTACCCCACACCTAGGGACAGTTGACAGCTGGTAGTTTCACTAAAACTACATAGGATAAAGCTGCAAATCAATGGAATGAATCAGAAGTCACCATACGCTGTAAATTTATGTACTTAAAAGAATAAAGAGAACTGCTACATATACTGAAGAAAATGTGATATAATGGCAAAAATCTGGTACAAGAACTTCTTCAAAGACACAAGGAGTAAGAATATATCAGTTTATCTGGCATCTGGTAAGGAGATAAGAAACTTACATAATGTACACAAAGAATGCCTTTGTGGTTCCTAGAAAGGTATACTCTTTGGTAAGCCTCCAGCACAATGTGCCTAGTTAGGTTCTATAGACTTATTTTGTTCCAAATGAATACACTAGAAACTGGCTTTAAAAAATCATAATGCCAACTTGTTGACACACAATGGGAGATATGTCTGGTACGTTTAAAGTGACAGGTTTCTTATAGGACATTTCTTTTCCGGGGGAAACATCAGTAGCTGTATCAGAAGATTACTTTAAAGCGGCCCTTAAAACAAAGGAAGCAAAATACTCCTGGCAAATCATCTATGAAATGTGACAAAATTAAAATCCTGAAGATACATTCTGAACCATGGCTTTGCCTAGCTGTTACGCCATTCCAAAACAAGTTAGCTTTACCCAAATCCAACAGTTGGCATCTGAGCAATGTATTCAATCAAGCTGGATATTTCCATAGTTACAATCTAGTTTCTGGATATTAGTCAACTTTTTCATAATATTTCAAAAATAAAATCTGTTTGAATACATTTAAGTCTCATTGATTCATCAATGGCTACTGTCTACAATTTTTTAAATTCTTATTTTATTTTTTAAAATTTTTACTGGAGTGTAGTTGATTTACAATGTTGTGTTAGTTTAACAAGATGAATCAGTTATACATATAAATATATCCATTCTTTTTTAGATTCTTTTCCCATATAGGTCATTACAGAGTATTGAGTAGAGTTCCCTGTGCTATACAGTAGGTCCTTATTAGTTATCTATTTTACATACAGTAGTGTGTATATGTCAGTCCCAATCTCCCAATTTATCCCTTCCCCCTCTTTCTCCACTGGTAACCATAGTTTGTTTCCTACATTTGTAACTCTATTTCTGTTTTGTAAATAAGTTCATTTGTACCATTTTTTTTAGATTCCACATATAAGCAATATCATATGATATTTGTGTTTGTCTGACTCAGTATGACAATTCTAGGTCCATCCATGTTGCTGCAAATGGCATTACTTCGTTCTTTTTTATGGCTAATATTCCATTGTATATATGTACTACATCTTTATCCATTCCTCTGTTGATGGACATTTAGGTTGTTTCCATATCTTGGCTATTGTAAATAGTGCTGCATTGAATATAGGGGTGCATGTATCTTTTTGAATTATAATTTCTTCTGGATATATGCTCAAGAGTGGGATTGCTGGATAATGTTGGGCAGGGCCCTGTCAAGGGGTGAGTTTTGAGGTAGCTATGAGCTCAGTACGACTTTAGACAGTCTGTCTGCTAATGGGTGGAGCTATGTTCCTGTCTTGCTGGTGTCTGGCCTGAGGCGTTCCAGCTCTGGAGACTGTAGGCTGTTGGATGGAGCCGCATCTTGGTGCTGAAATGGGGACCTCCAGGAGAGCTCGCGCAGATCAGTGTTTCCTGGGGCCTCTGCCACCAGTGTCTTTGCCCCCACAGTGAGCTACAGCTGACCCTTGCCTCCTCAGGATACCCTCCAAGACCCCTAGTTAGGTGTAGCCCCGGTTCCTATGGAGGTATTGCTTTGTGCTGGGTCCCAGTGCACCTGAGACCTTTGTGCACCCTCCGAGAGTGGAGTCTCTGTTTCTCCCTGAGTGTGGAGCTCCTGCACTCAGGCCCTGCTGGCCTTTAAAGCCAAATGCTCTGTGGGTTCTTCCTCCTGATGCCTGACCCTCAGACTGTCTTGGAGGGCTATTTTTATGTGGGAACATCCCTGTGTAGGCTGTGTGGGTTTAATATTTTTTGGTGCGAGTGCTGTTTTTAGTATGGATGTCTGCTACCTCTCGCCTCAGTGCATGCAGGCTGTTATCCCCTTGATAGGAGGTGTGACTGTTGTTGTGGTGACAAGAGCTTGCACTGGATATTGAGCGGGGCCTCCCCTTTGCTCTGTGGTTGTCACTGTCCTGTCAGGGGCAGGGCCTGCTCCCTAGATGTTGGAGTAGAGGGCCCCAGATCTGTTTCTGAGCTGTGGTATGAGGTAGGCAGGACTGGAGCACTTCCACTGGGAGAGAAGCCTCTGAGTTTTCCTCTTCTGGAGCTGTTCACCTGTTAAGTGTACTCTGCTGTGTCACTTTTCACCCGTTGTGCGGGCTCACAAATTACACTGTTGTTGGAAATGGCCTCAGCCCCATCTTAACCATGGGTATGCTGGCAATTGGCCCTGGTGTCTCTAAGGCATTGTTTTCACTAGGCCTCCAGCGCAGATCCACCGAAGTCAGGTCCCAGGACTGCAGTAATCGTGTACCTGGACCCGCTATAGGAGCTATGGAGGCACCTCAGACTCTGGCCTGGCCCAATCCCCACCTGTACGTGCTCACAAAGCCCACACAGCTGCCAAAGCTAGACCTGTCTCTGCTGCAGTAGCGCTCTTCCATTCGGATGTTCTACAGGTGCTGAGTTTACAAAGCCGGCAGCGGGGCTGTAAATCCGTGGTTACCGCAGCCACAAGAAATTTCAGCTCTTCATTAGATACATGGCCCCTGGGGCTTAGCTGTGGTTTCAGCCCCACCCCTGTGTGTGGGCCTCTCACCAGAGTCTGCTCCAGAGGCTACCCAGGAGAACTGGCGCCCACCCAGGCAGGCGGGGGCGGCGGCGTAGACAGGCGGGTCCTGGCAGCCTGTTCAGCTGGGAGGCCCTCCTAGTGCCTGCGGAGGCTGGGGCCTGCACGTAGGGAAGGCGGCTGCAATGGCGGCCCCGCCCCTTGCGTGCCACTCAACAACGGCACCCTGCCTCTATGGCAGCCCAGGCTTCTTCCGTGAACGTTCCCAGTTGTGGAGCTCCTCACTCCCGTCCCTTCAGGCTGTCTCTTCTCAGCTAACAGCTGTCCACTCCCAGGGTCTACTCCCCAAACCCCACGTTCCAGCACCCAGGCCCCGTGCACCACGGCGGACACCTGTCTCAGGCTGAGGCACGCAGGGCTGTGGCAGGGACCATCTGTGTACCTCTCACTCTGTCCTACCTGCCACAGACCAGTTGCTGCGCTCTCCTCTGAGCCCCTGAAGCTCCCCTTCTGTCTCAGCTGATCTCCCCGCTGGTGATGGGGCTTCCTCGGTGCAGCAACTTCTCTTCTTCAGCTCCCCACCAGGGGTGCAGGTTCCGTCCCGTTTCTTCCTTTCTTTTTAAATTTCTTTCATCCTACCCGGTTGCACGGGGATTTTACTGGTCATTTTAGGTGTCCAAGGTCCTCTGCTAGTGTTCAGTAGGTGCTCTGCGAGAGTTGTTCCATTTGTAGATAGATGTATTCTTTTTTTTAATTTAATTTAATTTTATTTTATTTTATTTTTTTGCGGTACATGGGCCTCTCACTGTTGTGGCCTCTCCCTTTGCGGAGCACAGGCTCCGGACGCGCAGGCTCAGCGGCCATGGCTAACGGGCCCAGCTGCTCCGCGGCATGTGGGATCTTCCCGAATCGGGGCACGAACCCGTGTCACCTGCATCGGCAGGCGGACTCTCAACCACTGCGCCACCAGGGAAGCCCTAGATGTATTCTTGATGTACTTGTGCGGAGGGGTGAACTCCACGTCCTGCTATTCCACCACCTTCAGTAGTGATTTTTAAAAAGTCTGTTTTTTAAATTAATGATGGTCTTCTTATGTAAAATATTAACACCAACATGGACTCATTCATCTTAATAAAATGTGTTTTCCTTTTTTAAAGTGGTAAACTAATAACTCACTATGCAGCGTGAAGGATGTATTTTACTGATCACACTAAAAGTTATGCTAACCATTTTAAGATTTTGAATTCTGACAGCTGTTATAAAAAGAGAAACTCCCAGTGAAACCTCTCCCATCACTGTAACAATTGTGAACATTTTGCAGTCAGACTGTAAAGTGATAATAAATAATTATGAAAACAATTCAGTCCATATGAATGGTACTATACAGTTTCCAAGTGCTACTCCATACATTATCTCATTTTCATAAAGACCTGGGCAGCAAGGTCATACCTGTATGTAACCACTGAGAAACTGACATAAATCTAGAAAGGCAGAAAACACAAATGCTGAGAGAAAATTTAAATACATAAAGCCAAAAGAATTTGATACTTGTCATGTTATTCTATTACATTTTAGAATCTTCTCAATGTTTTAAGAACAACAACAGATACACTGCACAAAGTAATCCTTCCAAATATAGCGAGAATAAACTAAACAAAACAGAGATATTACAAAAGGCCCTCCCTCTCTATTTGGGGATGCAGAACCTACAGACACTGAGGGCTGACTGTACTTTGTCATTTTATATGAGGGACTTCAGCATCCACTGATTTGCGTACCCATGGAGGTCCGTGAACCAATCTCCCGTGGGTACCGAGGGACAACTGTATTTTGACGTTTTCATTTTTGACACAATAAAATCATGAAATTACAGGTGTTAAATTAATGGCTAGAAATGGGAGTGGTAACAAACAAAATAAGTTGGTCAGTTTATTTTATTTATTTATTTAGTGATTTTTAACAAAATATTTATTCATT